GATCTCGCAGGCGTCGGCCATGAACTTGAAGCTCAGGCCACGCCGCGTGGCTTGCCGCACGGAGAGCAGTTGCTCGGCGGCGCCTGGGACGTGCAGCACGTCGCGCAGGATGAAGGGGCCGTTGGGCGTGTGTGTGCAGCAGCACGTGCCCGGCAGTGGTGGCTTTGCCAGTGCCGCCGTTGCCAAAGGTGATGGTGATGGCCTCCTTCAGCAGGTAGGGGTCGAGCAGAACAGAGGAGTCGTGAGTAAGGTGGCAAGATGCACCGGTGTCTAGCACCCAGCGTTGCGAGCTGTCACTGCCCTGGCTGGTGCTGCAGCTGCTCCGGCTAATGTTGTGGCTGCGCCGGCTGATCCTGTTCTGGCTGCTCCACCTGGTGTTGAGGACACCCCCCCGTCCGCTGCTGGGAGCTGGAGAGAGTCTACCAAGCTAAGAGCAACGCGCGCAAGCTGGAGCTACGCATGCAGCTGAGCCAGCTGAAGATGGGCGCCACCGAGCCCCTGACCAAGTATGTGTCCCGTGCCAAGGAGATCCAGGCCCAGCTGCGCGCTGCCGGCCAGGATGTGGCAGACACCGAGATCGCCTGGTCCGTGATGTCCGGCCTGCCGTCTGCCTATGCAACGATGGCCACCGTGATCACCGCCACCACCGACGGGGACCTGAGCCTGGATGACATCCTGCCCAAGCTGCTCACCGTGTGTTGGACGGCGGGCCACCTGGCTGCACCAGCGCCCGCCAGCTGTCCAGCCTGCTCACCTACAGCACCCACCGCGTTGGGACGCGGCCAGACCGAAAGCCAGATGGCCAAACCGAAAGCCACGCGCCCCACACCCGCGCCAGCTGGCAAAACCCAACGGTCAGCTCCCCCGACCCAATGCCATCTGTCAGCACCCTCCAGCTGGCGGCGACATCTGGCGGCCACCCGCCATCTGGCCATTCTCCCATGCATGCATATAATCCCCTGCATTTCGCCTTGTTTGTCATTCTCTCCTAGTGCCCTTCCTCAGTGACTGCCCTCTGCAGTCAGGTGTAAAGCCCTTCTCTCACAACAGGTTATGGGCCCCAACCCCCGCTGCACCAACTGACCCCCAAGGAAGTTCCCCTT